TCAATGTTTACCTTTCAACACAATTAAAAATCTGTAACAAGTCAATGTATGCAGTCTAACACTGAACTGACACTTTTTTGTATGTATCATCTGATAAGGTTTTCAGCTACAGCAGGTGCATAAAGAACAGTCCTTATCAGTTACACATGTGTAATTATATCATGTCAATTTTATTTAGTTATCAAAAAAATAATATTCAACATTTTTTATATTTTGTTTCTTGTTTCTGGTTTCTGATTTCTGGTTTCTTGGTTTCTGGTTTTGCAATTTACACATTCCCCCCAAAATATACCACAGAACTACACAAAATACAATAAAACTACTAAAATATACCACAGAACATTGAATTACTTTACAAAATGCAAAACTAATAATTCAGAATTATATTATTTTTATAATTCGGGCTACACAAATGACAGGACGATTGACCGGATGAGATACAAATTTCTTTAATGATCATAACTTTTTTTGTTATTAGGTAGATTTTTTTTTTATTTGGAGACCTTTGAGATACTAAACTATATTTCATAAAAATCTTTTAAAAACAATTTATTGTAAATAAAAAGTTTTTCTATAAAAAAAAATGATTTTCTATAAATAAATGTTTTTCTATAAAAAAAATGCTTTTTTCTATAAAAAAAAAAGTTGACATGATGAATTTTCCTGGCGCCAATTACACTTTTACAATTAAGTTTGTTCTCCCAATTCTGTTAATAAATTTTAAAATAATCAACTATTTACAATATTGTCAATTGATTGAATTCTAATTGCCATCTGATTATGCAAGGTATAATTCAATTAAATGGTTTATTCCTTCCAAAATCTTGTATGTCATTTGTAAGAAATCCATGTTGGAATAGAAGGAATAGTTGAATAAACAAGGGATTCATCAAATTAGATTGTCAAAACATAATGCTAATTAGCTTCAGGTAAATATCCATTAAACCTAACGAGTTAGTTTTCATCAATGTGCAGTTTGAAAATATTAATAGTAGAAAATATACAAAAAGTTCTAACAAAAGGCTTTGGCACAGCTACGAATCATATTAACATCTGTAAATAAAAACACTTATTTCTGTTTATCATCAAAAGACATAAAATCACTATTAAAATGTATGTCTTCATCAAATAATTCTTTTCTAAAATCGTCGTATAAAGGACACGATAAAATAACATGGGTTTCATCTTCTAAAATATCCTTACAACTATCTTAAGACTGATAGCCCCCCCCCCCCCCCCCTTATTATTACTGAACAATAATAGAACATTTTCGAGTAATGTCCTTCTCTGGAAAAGTTCGTCAATTATTCACCCCTTTATGACATCATTTAACAGATAGACGGTATCGCCTGTATCCCTGCACTATTAAAGTTCATCAAGTGTCTTCCTAATCGTCATTATGCAGGATAAGCTAGAAATAAATTGATTGTTCCGTAAATACATAATCACAATTCCCTATTGACAGCCGTGCTGATTATCAGTTATTAGAATTTAATTTGCCAAATAATTCGTGCAATATCATGAATATAGCACCATATTTTTTCAACTACTTGCTCAACATGGGAAAGAAGTGACGATGCCCCTAAACGCACGAATGATGTTCAATAAAACCAAAGTTTTGGATCGAAATGCAACGAACTTGAAAGTTATCTATTGTTTGGGTTATGTATTAATCATGTTAATTTGAATGATATTGTATCGTCTGTACGAGCCCTATGATAAGGAAAATAGAATTAGTATTAATCTTGGACTGGGATGTCTCATACATTACATATTTGATAGTACCAGGTATAAGAATATTAGGAATGATAAGTAATTTGTGTTTTCTGATGACTAAAGCTGGGATTCAATCATCTGTCTATACCTAATACAAACTTACAGTACATTATACTCAATGCCAGTGGCTTACACATGTTACACATAGTTACCATTGACACAACTACAACACACTTGTGTGCACATACAAAAAAGCTTTCAATAAAATTATTAAAAGAAGAAATTAAGGAAGAAATGGAGAGAAGCTATAGATAATTTCAGAGAGAGAGAGAGGGAGAGAGAGTATACATGGTATAGATAATTATAAACATGTGTCCTAACTCCTTTTACACTGACATTTCCATATTTTAATCAGTTAAAAAAAAAAGCAACATCTCAAAATATTTATTCTTAATATTTTGGGAGAAAACAATAGAGCCAAAAGGATGCATCAGAATCTGTTAAACTCCCCTAGCATGCCTAGTATGGTGTCCAAGACTAATAAAATTACTCCTAAAGTAGTTACTCCAACTATCATGTGACTCTTCCTAGTACATGTACATCTTTAGAATCTACAAATTATTAAGTTTTGCCTTCCAAACTATCCTAATATCTGAGAAGTTTTAAAAGAAGACTTGACAAGAGACATTAACTTGAAACTTCAATTTATTTAGACAAAATAGCAAATAATAGACGATTTCCCCTTTTCTGCTGGCCCAGGGTAAATTTAAACTATAAAAAAGATTATTTAAGGAAGGGCAGGGATTGATATACTATGCATGCACTGGTGGAGGAATGGTGAACTTAGCAATGCTTAGGGTGAATTAACTGGTCATTATGTCATGTATGTACACTTATCATGCTAATGTTAATACATGTACTACTTAATTGAAGAAAAATAACGTTATATATATAAATACATGATATATGATACAATTGTTCATTTCAATTACCCACTTACCCAATACAAACTGCCTAACAGAAGAAACTGTCCATTCAATATACATTTGTATAATGACCAGTCTTCACGCTTAACCACCATGACCACATGTACAGGCCCAGCAGCCCAGGCTTGTAAAACTGCTTTCAGGCCTGAAAAAATCTTCACTACAGGCCAACAGAAGTAACTAAAATTTTCCAAAAATTGAGCTCTGGGCCTGTAGATTTAAAAGTCAATCGTGAAGACTGAATGATATACATTTTTTGTATGTCAAGCTCTAAATGGCCATGGTTCTAAAAAAAGTTGTGAATAATTTAATAGAGACTTTCAATATCTGCCATTAACTCCAAATTTTCAAAATTACAAAATACATTAAGGTATACAATAACAAAATCAACCTCTGACATTAGTGTCCTGGCTTTGGACATGTTGGACAGCCACATCATCATGTGGCAGGGTTAATTTATATAAAAATAAGAAGATGTGGTATAATTGCCAAATAGAAAACTATCTACCAGAGACCAAACAATGTAGACTATAGTCACTGTATTGCCTTCAACAATAAGCAAAACTCATACCACATAGTAAGCTATAAAAGGCCTCGAAGGACAAATGTAAAACAATTCCAACAAGAAAACAAATAGGATATACAGCAACAAACAGCAACCACTGAATTGCAGGCTCCTGCCTTAGGACAGGCACATACACAATGTGGGTGGGGTAAACATATTTGCTGGTGCTAAACCCTCCCCTAACCTGGGACAGTGGTGTAACAGTATAACATCAGAACAAACTATTAAAATCAGTTGTAATGGGAAAACTAGTTCAAAGCCAATAGCAGCTAATAAAAAAAAAACATGCATCTAAAACTAAAATATCAATCAGTATGTACACATCCAGCATCCAATGGATTTAGTATAAAGATGTCATTACCAGTCAAAGAATAAAAAGACCTTTTGCAATGCCAAAATATAGGTATCAACTGATTGTAGGACTGTAAATGTACATATATGATATACTTTAATGAGATATCAACCCTTAGTTCCTTTCAATATTTATCATTGAAATATAAAATGGTACATAAAACAAAATTGAAATATAAAAAGGTACATAAAACAAAGTACAACAATCAGCACTTGATGGGCATTTTACTGTATCTGTAGGACACTAGTATTAAAGATGATCAAAGATAACAAAAACAAAAGTAAAAGCACAAAAAAAAATTTACGATATTAAAGGGATGAATCTCCATGTACGCTAACACACCATGGAATACACATCTTCATGTCACTGAAAAAAAGGTTTATCTAAGTAATGAAAAAATAAAACATTCATGGAAATTTAAGAGACATCACTACAAATATACATGTATGGAGGCATCACCTAGCAACTGAGATATGTACTCTTTTTAAGAAGGATCGTCTTGAACAATTCTCATTTTATTAGGGAAAGGAAAATTAATAATAAGAAATAAAAATCCTGTTTGTAATTCTAATACTGCAGTTTATCATATACTTATAGAAAATAATGGTATAATTGTAACCATGATAAAACTAATTTGTACATATATTTATTCATTAAATTTGAAGAATTGCTTTAGCCGTGTGATATGACTTTTGTTATCAACTGCTTCCGGTTTATATCAACTGCTTCCGTTTTCTTTCAACTGCTTCCGGTTATTAGCGCATGCTTTTCTGTAACGTTATCGCATGACAATTCGACGTCATTCGGCAAATTCCGGAAAATACACCTCAATGGTACGTACATTTGTATTTTGTGTAAAACATAACAAAGTTGGATGAAAAAAATATTAGGAATCAAGAAAAATATATTATCAAAAAATGCAAAACAAATATAACAACAAATGCATTTTTTCAAAGTTTTAAAAATAGTTTTTGTCTGTATGTCTTCTGCTGAAGTATATGATAAAAAGAACATAACATGTCATTTTTCATATCAGACCCCTTATCAGCCCATGGTCAAAATCATCCCTCGAGCCTGTCGGCTCTCTGGCTGATATTATGACCTAGGGCTGATAAGGGGTCTGATATGAAAAATGCCATGTTATAATCTATATGTATCAATGTGTAAAAAGGAAAACAATGGCTGTTTTGAGCTGGTTAGATTTCAATTCATATTTAGGAAAAAATGGATTGTTATTTTAACAGAGAATATGTCATATAAATAAATGTACTAAAGTATTGTTAAAAAATAAATTTATTTAAATGTATTAGTGGTGATCCTTTTGGATCTTCAGGAACTTTTGAGTTAAACAAAGTTATTTTTTTCTTCTGCAGTTAAAATTATGGATGAAGAAAAAGAAAGTGTCGTGAGGTGCAATGCCGTGAATGGTGATGATGTTAATCTTGATGATGTAAAATATGAAGAAAGCAGCAGCTTAAAGGAAATTGGTAAGGAAGGTGAAAAAGATCTACAAAATCATTATGAATCTCAAGAAGCAATCCTTGATGGAGAAGAAAATTTGAAGCTATTAATTACAGACCTCCCAATGGAAGTTATTGTTCATATATATGATTTTCTTCCACTTTCATCTCGATATAATGCATCAATGGCTTGTCATATTTTGTATGAAGCCTTCAACCATCCAAAACTTTGGCATGCACAAAGGTTAATGATAAATGGAGATGTGATTAATTATGGATCAACATATTTTGGAAACTGTACCAGAACTGTACCAAACAAAACAAAGCATCTGATAGCAAAGTTTGGTAAATATTTTCAGTTATTGACAATTCAGGTATATGGCCATCTAGGGAAGTTACAAGAATGGTCTTCAGTATTATTAGAACTCAGTCAACAATGCAGACTTGAAAAGCTCACTTTGGTGGTTGGCAAGATGACAACCGAATCAGATCTTTTAGGAAGACCCCCGAAAAAAAAAGACATGGATATACTTTTATCATTTATCCAGAATGCTTTTCGAATAAAACATTTAGATATCAAAAGTTGGCCACTCTTTCCAGAGACGATGTTTCTAGATGATCAAAACATATTCAAAGCCTTGATGAAGAATACTAAACTGAAAGAACTAGAACAACTTGATCTGTTCTGGCCGTATACCAATCTGATGTGGTCAGAGCGTCAACCAATTCTACCAGACAGCAATATGGTCCTAGAACTCATAAAATACCTTGGAAACCTTAAGAAATTAGGACTAAGGTCAACAATGTTGTCTGATGCTCTGCTTGAAGCGTTGGCATTTTCAGGAAGATCTAGCAGAATTAGTTTAATAAGAATATTTGTCACATATGCCAAGGGAAAGCCAGAATATCAGATTCCAAACATCAAGTCGTTGTCATGGAAACGCCTTACTGACATCAATCCAGATTTCCATGTTGAATGTCATGTGATGCCACGATTACCATCAATAGAGTTAGGCAACATGCTGACTCTGGACTGTCCACTTTCAAAGATAATGTTTCTTCAATGGTCCAGAATTGATGATCAACTTATTGAGTCAATTGTTAACAAGTTCAATCAAACTCTGAAAACATTCGAAGTCTACTGTGATTTCAAAGACTACGATGATACATTGATCAAGATGGTGGCAGAATGTAAATTTTTAGAAAATTTAGTCATAAGATCCTGCTCAACACATTGCGTAAATGTTGAAACTATAAAAAAATTAGCTTTCTGGCGAGGTACAAGATGGGTAACTTTTCAATTTGATGAGAAAAATATTTCTTTCGTTGACAAACCACACAGCATTGAAGAAGACACTGTTGTTGCTCAAAATGAAAATGGCGAATACTTTTTGGTAGGCATGCATCAGTTCCATGCTGAGCCAGAGGGAAAGGAAAGGAGTATGAAATGCCAGGAGTTGAAAGATAGCCTAGCAGTGATACTTGGTCAGAAGTTTATAAGTAGAAACAAAGCTATTATTATAGACAGAAATTCAACAGTGTAGCAAACTTGAAAATCAAAAATTGTAGTTTAGGAACACTCATTTATTACTAAGCAAGAGGGTCTGGATTGGGTTAACAAAATAGAGAATAATGGGCTAATATTATATAAAAATGGGCCAAAAAACTAAACCATTAGATAAAAATGGAGTGCTAAAGTATGTACCGGTAGAAGAGGGAATATTTTCTCTTTTCTATATAATTTTTGCACATTAAATATGCCAAAATTATATAGATAAGAGAAACAATGGTTTAAAAAAATAAAGAATACAGCATTAAAGGACCCCCATTCAGACCTTCATGCAAAAAAGGGATTGTTGTTTTATCATGTATATTTAATTTGCAAGCGATCATTTCAAAATTCATTTGATGTTCTCTGTGATTCTCATGATGCTAGTCCCTCTATCTGCTTTAAATTTCACAATATTTTAAACAGCTTGGCCATAAGTTGACCAGAATGTTCAAAACTCCTTAGTAATAATTTTTGGTACATTTTTACATGTATGCATATAAAATCTAAAATAACACCTAAGTAAAAATGGCTGTAAAGAGTTAAAATGATCTGCAATACATGATCTCCACACATGTCTGTACAATTTAGACTAAGCCATCAACTGACTCTGTACGTATGTATCACTGATAAATGGCTTTTTGATTTTTGACATTTAAGCGTTTTTGCTTTTTATCTTGATTATGAAAATTAATTGATAGAATTGCTGTCTGAAAGGAGTTATCACCCTTAAATACATGTATTCTTCACAAAAGTTATCCTGCTTTTGAGGTAGAGAAATTTTACTATATGATTTTGAAGAACAATTATTTAATTGTAACACACTCAACATGCTGAAAGAGCTGTAATTTTGAAAATAAGTAATTTGTATTGAGAATTTTTTTATGCCCCTGCTGTAGCGGAGGGGGCATTAAGTTTTACCCTTGTCCGTCAGTACGTACGTCCCAAAATTGGTTTCCGTTCTCTAACTTTAGTTTGTCTCAACCAAATGTTATGAAACTTATACACAATTTTGGTGGCGTCACTTGAACCATTCTAGAGTTATGCCCCTTTAGAAATGGAAAAATTGCTAAATTTTTATTTTCTTCTAAATATCAAGTTATTTTTAAAATTGGAGTTATCTTTCTTTTTCCATGATTATTGTTGAATCAACTACAATCAATGCTTTATACAATGCAATGTTTAATTTTGACTTCCACCGATAAAACACAGATCAAGTTGAATTTGGGTAGTGTCACTTTAACCATTATTGAGTTATGCCCCCTTATAAATCGAAAGGTTGCAAAATTTTAAGTTTCCATTCTGTAACTTAAGTTTGCCCCAACCAAACATTATGAAACCTATACACAATATTCATTACCACAAAACTAAGATCAAGTACAAATTTTTTGTTTCCGTTTTCTAACTTTAGTTTGCCTCAACCAAATGTTATTAAACTTATACACAATGCTTATTACTACATAATACAGATAAGTACGAAATTTGGTGGCAACACTTTTACCATTCTTGAGTTATGTCCCTTTGTAAACATAAAAATTGCTGAATTTTTGTTTCCGTTCTCTAACTTTAGTTTGTCTCAACCAAATGTTATAAAACTTATACACAACCGTTCTAGAGTTATGCGTGTTTACAAATAGAAAAATTGCTGAATTTTTAGTTTCTGTTCTCTGCTTAAGTTAGCCTCAACCAAATGTTATGAGACTTACACACAGTGCTTATTACCACAAAACTCAGATCAAGTTCAAATTTGGGTAGCGTCACTTTTACCGTTCTTCAGTTATGTCCCTTTATAACTATATGATATGCAAGCGTGGGCATCGTCTGTGTCCACATGTGGACACTATCCACATTTATTTTATTTTATAACCAGTGACAAGAATTATCAAGATGGCATATTTTTCTGTTAATCTAAAATTTAAGTCACCCCCTACAATATTTAAGAATTTTTGAATAAAATAATGTTAAAATGTTTCTTTTTAGCCTTAAAGGTCTTTATAATTTACTGAACGATCCTTTGGCTTCAAATGGGCATTGTACATGTAAGAATGATGCCACTTATTTCCCATATAAATGTACCTATTTCTAACTTTGAATAATTATAAAATAACACTTGGGTGAGTCAAAAAAGTGACTCTTAGAAGTAATGTTGCAGACAATGAAATATGGGAATTGGATTTTCTTGCTCAATTTTTCATTTAGGGCAGACCAAGTGGATAAATGATATTTTTGGGGGACAAAAATACAGGTGGTGCTTCCACAATATAGCACTTGATGCATATATATATAGGGGGTGGATCCAGATTTGTTTTCAAGGGAGGGCATAATTCCTGATAATAGAAGATTTTTATCGGAGGGAATCTCTGAAAAATTCTTTTTGTATGTTTTTTAACTAACAAAATAATATATGTCATGATAAACATGTTAATATTTTTAACTTGTTGGCAATCAATTGGGCGTAAATCCTTTTAACCCCCACCCCGATCTACCTTTTTTTGCTACAAGCTTTTTGATAAGAAGGTTTGTTCCCTCCGTTTTGTGGAATGAAACTTATATCGTGTGCAGGTTCTACAAAGTTCACTTATTTTATTTTAAATCATAAAGTGATTTTACAAGTTTCAAAATCAGAATTGTCCTCAATTGAACTTTGACACTATTATGTGACTGTGATATTAACTAACTGTTCTTATATTATGCTTTATATACATGTTTTTTTATACTGTTCATGATTAAACATTTTACATACATGACATAATGAAGCATTTGTTTTTATACGACCGCAAAAATTTTTGCGGTCGTATATTGGTATGACGTTGACGTCGTTGTCCGAAGAAACATTGGTTTTCGCACTATAACTTTAGTTTAAGTGAATGGATCTCTATAAAATTTTACCCTAAGGTTAAATACCACAAAAGGAAGGTTGGGATTGATTTTTGGGGTTATGGTACCAACAGTTAAGGAATTAAGGGCCAAAAATGGGCCAAAAATAAGCATTTTATAGTTTCCAGACAATAACTTGTGGAACGGTGTATGGATCTCTCTGAAATTATACCACAAGTTTCCATACCACAAAGGGATCATGGTTAGGATTTGCTTTGGGGGGTTATGGCTCAAACCGTTTAGGAATTAGGGGCAAAAAAGGGGGAAAAACAAGGTTGCCCTGGTTAATGGACAAATACTTTAGTACAAAACATAATTTAAAGCAGTGTAAGGGAGATAAATCAAATACATCATTTGAATTACCTCCCTTACACTGCTTTTAAATTATGTATAAAGTAATGGTTAATGATTAATTAAGACAATTTAAAAGCAGTGTAAGGGAGGTAATCCAAATACAACGTTTTGATTACTTCCCTTACACTGCTTTTAAATTATGCTTAAAGAAATGCATATTTACAAAGGAAGACCAGTAAAAATATCTGCAAATGTTGCATCTTTTTTTTTTTTACAAAAAAATTCATATGAAAGATTTGACACCATATTTTAAATTCTATTATAAAATAGATTAAGTTAGCACTATGGTAAATTTAAATGGGTAATTATGGTTGCAAACTCCATTGGAAATTTGAATTGAGATTATGACCATATCTTAAGGGAAAGATTTTTTTTGGTGAAAAAAGGGGGGGGGGGGGGGGGGGGGGGTAAAAAAAAATTGTTGGGGGTCAATTTTTTCTCATTTCAGATTTCAGAAATTAAAAAGAATTATTCTTCAAATATTTTTTTTTTTTCAAATTTCAAATATTGAAAAATTTCAAGAAGTAATTTTTAATTGCACAGTATGGTGCATTAGATTTGTAAAATCTTTGACCACATTTATTTCTTTGTTATGCCGAATCTAACCGTGTATTTAGACTTTTAATTTTGGGTCCAGTTTTCAAGTTGGTCCAAATCGGGGTCCAAAATTAAACTTTGTTTGATTTCAACAAAAATTGAATATATGGGGTTCTTTGATATGCTGAATCTGACCATGTATTTAGATTTTTTATTTGTGGGCCCCGCTATCAAATTGGTTCATATTGAGGTCAAAAGGGTCCAAAATTAAACTTTGTTTGATTTCATCAAAAATTGAATTATTGGGGTTCTTTGATATGCCAAATCTAACTGTGTATTTAGATTTTCAATTTTGGGTCATGTTTTTTAAATTGGTCTATATTAAGGTCCAAAGGGTCCAAAATTAAACTTAGCTTGATTTTAACAAAAATTGAATTCTTGGGGTTCTTTGATATGCTGAATCTAAACATGTGTTTAGATTTTTGATTATGGGCCCAGTTTTCAAGTTGGTCCAAGTTGGGGTCTAAAATTAAACTTTGTTTGATTTCAACAAAAATTGAATATATGGGGTTCTATGATATGCTGAATGTAACCATGTATTTTGATTTTTGGGCCCCGTTATCAAATAGGTCCACATTGAGGTCAAAACGGTCCAAAATTAAACTTTGTTTGATTTCATCAAAAATTGAATTCTTTGGATTCTTTGATATGCTGAATCATACCATGTATTTAGATTTTGGATATTGGACCATAATAGGTAAATTAAAAAATTTTAAGTTCTTAGACCACATTCATTCTGTGTCAGAAACCTATGCTGTGTAAAATATTTAATCACAATCCAAATTCAGAGCTGTATAAAGCTTGAATGTTGTGTCCATACTTGCCCCAACTGCTCAGGGTTCGACCTCTGCGGTCGTATCAAGCTGTGCCCAGCGCAGCATTTTATTCCATATTGCATTATAGAATTGCGATTGATTGTTCTTGTTTAAAAGGTTTACATCATGTACAATCTCATTCTATCTTGAATGTTTGTGCCTTCAAAATGTGTGTTTTAAGAACACTGATATACTTGTATATATATATATGTGTGTGTGTGTTTTAACAACCATTAGCTCCCAATAAACAGTGATTAATGTGAAAGAGCTATTCATAATTTTTATACGACCGCAAACATTTTTTTGGGTTCGTATAAAGCTATGATTTCGTCGTCGTCGTCTAAAGACATTTTGTTTCCGAACAATAACTTTAGTTAAAGTGAATGGATCTCTATGAAATTTTACTAGAAGGTTCAATACAAAAAAAGGAAGGTTAGGATTGATTTTGGGGGTTATGGTATCAACATTTTAGGAATTAGGGGCCCAAAAAAATTCTAGTTTCCAGACAGTCTTCAATTGAATATAAATTCAAATCATACAACCAATTTCAAGTTCTTTGAAACATTTATTCTGTATCAGAAACCTATAATGTGTCAAATATTCAGTTACAATCCAAATTCAGACCTGTATCAAGCTTGAATATTGTGTCCATTTTTGCCCCAACTGTTCAGGGTTGGACCTCTGCGGTCGTATCCAGCTGCGTTCGGCGAAGCAGTTTATTTGTATATAGTCTGAAAACAGATTAACTAAGTATTGCGCAACAGCACAGTGTATTGCACAACAACAAATAATCTTCAATTGAATATAAATTTAGATTATATAACCAATTTCAAGTTCTTTGACACATTTATTCTGTGTGAGAAACCTATAAAGTGTCAAATATTTAATTACAATCCAAATTCAGACATGTATCAAGCTTGAATATTGTGTCCATTTATGCCCCAATTGTTCAGGGTTGGACCTCTGCGGTCGTATCCAGCTGCGCTCGGCAAAGCACATTTATTTTTTAATGTGTAAATTATACAGTGTGCAGGTTCTGCAAAATTAACTTCATTATTTTAAATTATAAAGGGATATTACAAGTTTCAAAATCCGAAATTAAAGAACAGAATTTTCCTCAAACGAACTGTGGCTCTATAATTTGATTGTGATATTATCTGTTCTGATATTATTTACATATTTTTTTTATAATGTTCATGATTAAACATTTTACATAATTTAGCATTTGTTCTTCATATTGCATTTCAGAATTATGATTGATTGTTCATGTTAAAAGGTTCACATCGTGTGCATAATCTCAACTTACCTTGAATGTTTGGGCATTCGAACATTTCTGTTGAGGACACTGATATAGTTGTGTGTGTGTGTGGTTTTTTTTCACATTTACCTCCTAATAAACAGTGATTAATATGAAATTAGTATGATTTATTTTGTCAATTGCCATTAGATTTCAATGGCAACGTTTTCTTCAAAATCAACTCCAAGCTCATTCGGGATGGTTAATTTTTATTTTACAAATGTAAATCGTAACTTGAGTTGGCAGCAGAGCTAATCCCATAATGAGTTAATTCATTCCCTAAGTTGGTTGAAGGAAAGGTTTCATAAATAAATCACAATATATTTTAATCATGAATTTCCAAGTTTATTGAACAACAATATTTGTCCCTCCTGTGACGAAAGTTGCAGAATGTGTGACAAAGGGATACTGATCTACTGGCAATAACTTATTGTACAAGGATTTGTATAGTGAGATCTCACAATAAAAATCCTTAATTAATGGTGCAGTACAAATCCTTGGTCTGAAGTTTCTGTTTGGCGCAGACAGTTGACCTCGACCTCATTTTTATACGACCACAAATTTATTTGCGGTATTATGTTATGGTGTTGTCTGCGTCTGAAGACATTTTGGTTCGCAGACAATAACTTGAGTATAAGTTCATGGTTCTCTATGAAATTTAGCACAAGGTTCCATACCATTAAAGGATGGTTGGGATTGTTTTGGGGGCTGCTATTGTCCTTGCGGTTTTGTAATTAGGTACCAAAAAAGGTCAGTTTTACTGGTTCATGGAAAATAAATTGGTTCGCAGACAATAACTTTAGTGTAATTGTATGGATGTGTAAGAAATTGTAGTACAAGGTTCCATTCCATAAAAGGAGGGTTGGGATTGATTTTGGGGGTTATTGTCTTAGGGATTTTGTAATTAGGGGCCAGAAAGGGGCCAAAAACAATTATTTGTCTGGTTTTAAGACAATAACTTGAGTATAAGAGATATTTATTTGGCCAATATTTTAGCACAAGGTTTCATGCCACAATAGGAAGGTTGGGATTTGTTTTGGGGGTTATTATCATAGCTGTTAAGGAATTAGGGGCCAAAAAGGCTCTAACAAAAACATTTTTTTATCAGATTCACAGACACTAACTTGAGTATAAGTGTATGGATCTCTGTTAAATTTCATCACAAGATTCCATACCACAAGAGGAAGGTGGGGATTTATTTTGGGGGTTATTGTCGTAGCTGTTTAGGAATTAAGGGCCAAACACAAGCATTTTTAGCTCACCAAAATTCATGGGGTTCTATAAAATGCTGAATCTAAGTGTGTATTTAGATTTTTGATTTGGGACTTGGTCGGCCATCATTAAGGTCCAAAGGGTCCAAAATTATTTGATTGTCAAGAAAAAAGAATGCATGCATGGTTGGGGTTCTTTGATATGCTGAATCTAAGCGTGTATTTAGATATTTGATTTTGGGCACAGTATTCAAGATGGATTAAATTGGGGTCCAAAATTGAACATTGTTTGATTTCATCAAACATTTAATTGTTTGTGTTATTTGATATGGTCAATCCAACAGTGTTTTAGATTTTTTGATTTTGTGCTTGGTTTTTAAAGTTGGTCCAAAATGGGGTCCAAAATTAAACTGTGTTTGATTTCAACATAAATTGAATATATATAGAGTTCTTTGAAATGCTGAATCTAAACCTGTATTTAAATTTTTGATTTTTGGGCTCAGTTTTCGAGTTGGTCCAAATCAGGGTCCAAAATTAAACTTCGTTGGATTTCAACAAAAATTGAATTTATGGGGTTCTTTGAAATGCTGAATCTAACCATGTATTTAGATTTTGGATATTGGACCATAATAGTTAAATGTCCAATTTCAAATTTCTCAGTCCTTTGACCACATTCATTTTGTGTCACAAACCTATGCTGTGTCAAATATTCAATCACAATCCAAATTCAGAGCTGTTTTAAGCTTAAATGTTGTGTCCATACTTGCCTCAACTGTTCAGGGTTCGACCTCTGCGGTCGTATCAAGCTTGCGCCAAGTGGAGCATTTTATTATAATTCATTAACATAATAAAGTTTTCGGTTTTAGGTCAGTTTCTCAATGACTCATGTTTTTATTGGTATTGAACTCGTCTATCCTTTCGTCATGAGGGAACCGCCTCTGTGGTCTCGTGGTTTAGCGTGCTAGCCACGAATGCGGGAAGTCGTTGGTTCGATACCCGACCGGGACAACAAAACACTTAGAAACTCACAGTGGTATTTCCTCATCCGACAAGGACGCGGTATTTAGGATTAAGAGCAAAGGCGTGTCTGCCCTGTGAACTGTTTACTTTGTGGCATATTGGTATACATATGGTACAAATAACTAAGATATGTATATTGGAAAATCTGGGATTTATGAGAATGATTGATTGACTGTTGGTTGCTTAACGTCCAGTGGCAAATATTTTATGCATGTTCAGAACGAGAACAAATTAACAATAAATAAAATAGATTGGTCCTGTAATAGAGGCCGTAGGTCGGGGAAATTTAAACTGCCACTGGAAAATAAGGGTATATTTGATAGGGACAGAAATTTAGACTTGCAACAGGCCACCTACGGACCCCCATAGTTGTTGCACGGATTCTTAACGTGCAAAAAGCGTGGTACTCTTTCTACACGAGGCATCGGTTTAACGTCCACATTTTGACCGGACGTGGCTGCGTACTAGCACAGCCTAACGGACGCCCCACTTTGGCAAGGATTTTACTGCCAGTCGGAAGAAGACCTGTAGTGACCATATTTCTATTCCACGGTCACCCTTTGGGCCTTATGATAATGAAGGAGAGGGACTATGGTGGGCTCAACACAGGGTCCTGTTCTTACGCACATAAGGTTAAAAGGATATAGAGAAATAATTTATATGTACCGAATGCTTATAAATTTAGGAATGTCTTGGTGTTCACCAAGTCAGAGACAATTATTGTGTAATGTTTCAACACCTGGCATATGTTTCATCAACGGTTTTCAATTCGAGTGACATGCTGGTCCAATTTTATACTTCCACGATCTGAGCTACAATGCATCATTTTTAAAAAATGTGATAATGGCGATTTAACAAATGAAGTATCTGTAATATTGTTTTGAAAAACACTGAAATTCAAAACTGAATCCAACGAGCTTAAGATACAAATCTTATTTATCAATGAAGCATACCAAATCAGCAACCGTCATACTTTACCTTTATGTGTGCAAAAATAATCATCTGCGGGAATTATTTCGGATTTAGGGGGCAGGGTGTCCGCCCCTTTATTGAGCTACATATATGGTTAATGCGTAGACTTTTTAAATGTCCCACTCCAAGCGTTTTCTAGTTTGGGGGCCCCGCCCCTTTCAAAATCCTGGACGTGCAGATAATTTCAAAATCTCGTACTGAAAGCACGACACTCCTCCACCACGCGTACGCTGCATCGGAATGCATCCAAAACCAAAATGATATAATCGATCACGCACAGAAAAAATATATTTGGTTTTGAACTAGTTCGGAACCAGAAACGAATAGCAAATAGAAGCCGTTCAAGGTTTATCTTGAAACCAGGTTAGAAGCAACAAAATATGCGTCTTTTGTTTACAATAGAATATAACTGGGGTAGTAAAGGGTTACATGTTTTTCCCGTTAAAGTAACGGTAATCTTATTCAATAGAATCAACGATCATTCACACTTGGTTAAATACACCTGTATTCTAATTATAGAGGTGATCAATACACTTGTGTGTAAAAAGTTGTGGTAAGGTAACTTATTTTGTAAATACATTTTGTGAACATCTTTGAAATCAACCATAAACCGAATGATACACCCATTTTCGAATACAATGTAAGTTATATACGATTTCACATGCACATGAACATTGCTATTATTGTGGACATTTATAAAAATTAACATTTAAGTAAATTGCACAGTTTCGTATAATTATCAGCTCGTCCTGAACGTGCATGAAATATTCACCACTGGACGTAAGGAAATCAACAATCAATCATATAATTTTATACATCATGATATGAACAATGATAATTTATTATCCTTTCCTTGCCATAACAATACTGTGAAGAAACATTCAAATACGAACAGAATAATTCCGCGATTAATTCGGATGGATGGCTGTTTAACGTCCAGCGGCAAATTAAGGTGGTACCAAACACCTTGACTAAAATTAATTTGGCTCGTTTAATTTTCATAACATTTTGACAAAATAGTTACTTTTGACCCTTTGACAAAAATATAAAATTTCAAAAAAACTGGAACCACACACTTTATCGGAAAAAATTCATTGGATATAAAGCAGTTTGACAATCACTAATTTTGACCATTAAGAAGCTTAATATTTCCTTAACAATAGAACTTGATTAAAACGTTCAGCTGATTTTTACAGATTTATCTCCCTGTAGTGTTATGTACCACCTTAAATGCATATTTAAGACGTGAACATGCTAATATGGTATAAACATTAACTCGCTTTGTACTAGACCGACACGCTGAGTCCGATTTTTAACGTGCTTGTTCACAAGGTATCAGTCCGCAGGAATACATGTCACCCTACCTAGAACACATTATTCTGACTCCAAGCCGACCAGTCTTTGCTCTTACTAATGAATGCCGCGTGTTTAGCAGGATAAGCAGCAAATACCTTTTTAAAAGTTTTTCGTTTGACACGACCGTAGATCGTACCAACGATCTCCGCCACTCGAGACGAACACGCAACCACGAGACCACCGAGGCTGCTAGAATCAACTAATTTATGGAAAGTGAATGTGCCAATCGTCAAAATGTTTTGTATGTTAAAATGTACCGACTCTAAAGCTCATAATATTGTATCGATTTAATGGTACAATGCATATCTATATACTAAATTTTATAATGCACCTGGTAAAATGAAAAAAAAACAACGGATTATTCGGTGGTTAATTAGCTTAATGACTGCTGTGTTGTCATAAACAATCCGCCGGTAAACAATCTTTCAAATGCAACGATTCTTTGAACAATATGCAAATACACAACAAAACAAAGACCCACCATGCTAAGAACGGAATGAAAAGCAACATAATTAAAACCAATCAAGCCAAAGAAATAAAAACAAAAAACATATAATTTTGAGATAAATAAATGAAAATAAATTATAAGATAAAAATGACTCGATTCTAAAAAGGCGCCTTCTGTGGAACGCGTGCTGGTATAAGAAAATGATAATAAGATAGTTTATTTCTGACACTGATGTTCTGGGCCATCCAAACTCGGAACTAACTTGATTTCTGGGTTTTTCAGTGCACTTTAGAAATTTTCATAAGATTTCTTTACCAATAGGACAATACTCAATTTTCATTACTTGATGTCTGTCAATTTTCCCAGATTTTATTTGTTTTACAGACATGGAATACAAGGACGCAAGCAAAGATGTTTGCTTAGAAGAAATGCATCACTCAATTCACAAAAGAACCTTTCTACTTACCGATTTGCCCGTTGAAGTACTTGCCAGTATAATTGGATACCTGCCCGTTTCACAACGATTTAATTTGATGCATACCTGTCGTATAATTTATGAAGCATGCAATCATCCCTTAGCATGGCACACACAAGAAATTGTGTCAAAAAATGCAAAAGGTACCGATTGTTCTGTTAATCGATACTTTCCAATCGATTTAATTCCCGAAATTTATAAACAAACGATAGCCAAATATGGCAAATTCTGCAGATACTTAAAGTTCTGTATAAATAGGTTTGTAATGAATATGAAGGAATGGAATACAATACTTGATGAACTGAGCAAAATGTGTCATCTCAATGCCTTAGTATTGGTTATAGGCAATGTTTACTATCCAATGGGGAAAGGCACTTTCCACAGCGAAAAACCCACTCAAGAGGAGAATATTTTGCTTGCAATCATTCGTTTTGTTGCTGGTATAGATACCAGAAAATTAAGGAGGTTTGACATACATCGATGGCCTACTACTGTTTATACTAAAACCGGATATGCTCCCATGGGAAATGATGAAAATATTTTAAATATAAGTATAAAAACGGGCACCCTGAAGGATGTGACGCATATGAATTTGTTCTTTCCAGTCATTGATAATGGCCAAACACTTTCTAACAGCGAATTACCAGATGTGGACGTCTTTCTAGAGATTGTGCAGTATTTTGCAAATTTAACAGAGTTAGGATTGGAACATCGGAGTCTTACGTCTTCACTTTTAGAGGAACTTTGCAAACCTGATCGACCAAGTTTAATTCTACTTAAAATATTTGTTAATTATGATAAAATACCATCTAGACATACAAATACAGTGGCTACAGAGATCAGATCACCAGTTTGGCGTAAATTCAGGGAAGCTAACTCGAAAGTTCATGTAGAATATTATCTCGGTTCTGTTATGTCAGAATGTGATCTTTCAAATATACTAAGTGACGAATGCCCTCTTTCGGCCATTTCATTTTTAAAAGGGTCAAAGTGTACGAGTGAAATGATTAACCCCATAATTGCAAACTTTGACAAAACGCTTAAAAGTTTTAGTATTTACAGTGATTTTTGTAACTGCGATGAAGCCTTTATACTTCTTACAATGAAATGTTCTTTGTTGAATACGTTTATTATTTCCGCTGCTACCAATTTTGTATATGAAGGGTGTATTAACTACAGAACAGTTGAAAAGTTAGCAGAATTGAAAGGGAGACAATGGAAAAAGTATAAAGTTCAGGAGCAAGCAATATCATTCTTTGATCAATCGATGGCCGATTCTAATGATCGATGTGACACTGTCATCGCTCAAGATTCTCGTGGTAAATATTACTTTGTAGATATTCAAAGATATCGCCAAGAGCCTGCCTCATGGAAGAATGAGCGAAAGCCAACCATGATAGAAAATGTCTCAAAAAGCATTGGTTTTAACATGGATTTACGTCAGTAGATGCTAAGTAGTAATAAAATGGAAATACATTGATTTTTGTTCTACGTCACTGAAGATATTCATATACTGCGTATATTCTAAATCAATATCCGACTTACGGGATGTGACATGATTGTCAATGAGACAACTCAAAAGCTGAAGTCTGAGTCTGGAAACCCTTCTCTCCCCCAGCTAGTTGATAGCGTCGGTTGCACAAACTGATGATTGACGTTTTGTTCAAATCATGGCATATGTATGTCTCGATAACATGTCATCGTCCTGAATTATATCCATTTTATTTTACAAAATTCATTGAACGTTATAGTCATGTTTGGGGTCAGAAAAAAAACATCACCCCATGTCATTTTGATCCACGTGTTTTAATCAGGCAAAAATATATCCAAGTTAGTTTAAAACGGAGGAAATTCCATATGGTGTTAATATAAAATAAGTATCGTTTTGATTGAGTTAAGCCATTTCAATTGATATTTTATAGTGTGTCTTTCTATGTTGTAATGTTGCACTACTATTTCAGGTTAGGGTGAAGGTTGGCGCCTGTTAAAACGTTTAAACCCGCTGCATGTTTATGCACCTGTCCTAAGTCAGGAGCCTGTTGTTCAGTGGTTGTCGTTTGATGGTGTGGTTCTTAAGTGTTTTTCGTTTCTCGTTTTTTTATATAGATTAGACCGTTGGTTTTCTTGTTTGAATTATTTTACACTAGTCATTTTGGGGGCCTTTATAGCTTGCTGTTCGGTGTGAGCCAAGGCTCCGTGTTGAAGGCCGTACTTTGACCTATAATTGTTAACTTTTTACACATTGTGACTTGGATGGAGAGTTGTCTCATTGGCACTCATACCACATCTTCTTATTTCTATGATTATCAATGGGGAAACCGTGTCAAATACAACCACGTAGATTCAAGTAATTATATGTCACCATACTGCCTTTAACAATGAGGAAAAGCCAATAGTTAGGCATAAAAGACCCTTTAAGTTACATGACAAAATATGAGTAAAACACAAATGTAACATACAGCAACCAACGACAACCACTGAATCACAGGCTCTTGACTTTGGACAGCCATATATATACTGTAGCGTGGTTAACCATGTTTGTGGACGCTCAGTCCTTCCCATAAAATCAGTTGAAAATGGCTTGACTCATCAAATTGACATGAAGTACAAAAACAACTAAAGTTAAGACAAAAGACAAGGAACCGATCTAAGTATTCACAGTTACTGAAAGCTATAGTGCAAGTACCATTTTCACCCAGAGTAAAGTATAATCTGTACACATTCAACGAACTTAGTAGTTAGACGTCATAAGCAGTCTGAGAAAAGCAAAACTCTGTGCATACAATGCCAAAATATAAGTACATCATATCGACAAGATGTAGGACCATAAGTTTTTATAAATGTATGGCGACACATATTTAGTAATATTTTGATTTATCAAAACTCAAAATCATTGTTAGTACCGATAAAAAAAAATATTCAAAGATATTTTAATTGTGTTGAAATGACATCCTCTAAGAATTTAAAAGGATGATCATTAGCCTAAGAATAACATTGATCGCAAGCTATAAACGGCCCCTAAATGACAAGTGTACAACAAATAAATCAGGAAAACCAACGGTCTAATCTATATAAAAAAAACGAGAAACGAGAAACACTTAAGAACCACACCAACAAAAGACAACCACTGAAACAGGTTCCTGACTTGGGACAGGTGCAAACAAATGCAGCGGGTTTAAACTTTTTAACACGCCAACCTTCACCCTAACCTGAGACAGTAGTGTAACATTACAATATAAAAAGACATAATATAAAATATCAGTTGAAATGGCTTAACTCGATCAAAAAGACATTTAAACAAAAACAAGTAAACATACACTGAACGAATAAGTTTGATCTATGACACAATATAAATACAATATTAAAACGTAGATGCCTGTATAACATAGACGTACCAAGCCTTTTCGATCTAATCCAAATTTCTTACACACCACAACATGTCGTAAAACAATTAAAATCCCTTTATAATTTCCTAGATCAGATGCCATATCAATCAAGTCTAGCTGGAATAAAAAGTCAGCATGTCATCAAGCTATAAAGGATAGAGTTTGAAAGGCGACGAAAGAAAGGCAACTGGGTTTATTCACATATAAAACATTAGAACTGATAAACAACCTACAGAATCTAGAAATACCAAACAAGATAGAACCATATATGGAAAAGATTGGTGGTATCATTCGATTGATGAGAAGAGATCTACCAAAATGTGTACAGAATGGTAAACTAAATAGAGAAGATGAACTTTGGTGGATCAACTACTTGTCAGCCTTGGAAAAGACAAGACGTCCTGCACTAAAGACTCCCTTGCCACAATATATGGGAAGATACAAGAGCCCACAACCAGCTATGGAGGATTATATGTAAAAAAACAATAAATCAAAGATACGGCCAGGCTTAAAATTGGGTACGCCAGAAGCGTATTCCGTCTATAAAAGACCCATCAGTGACGCTCGAATAAAAAAGTTAAAAGGCCAAATAAAGTACGAAATGGTCGTAATTGGTCATTTCTTAGATTTCAGTTTACCATGCATATTCTAATCCTTCGTTAGCATCGGCATTTTAACTCCTTCTTTTTCTTCTACTTCTTTATATTTTTTCCTCCACTATCTGGAGTACTACTACTTTTTAGTGAAGTATCGATAATATTTGTAGCAACTTAAGTGTAAGCAACTGAGTTGGTGTGTAGATGAAATCGCAATAAATATAATGGTACACAGACCAGTATGATAGCTCCTATGGTTCCATTGTTTCAGATAGTAGGTAGATTGGTTCATTCAACCTATGCCAACATTTTGAAATTTAGGTATAGAATTGTATGAAAAAGTGTTGGCATAGGTTGAATAGAATATAACAGATTAAGTGTTATAAAAACAAAAAATAATAAGTGGCCAATCAATTTACAACCAGTTTAAAATTGGCGTTTAAGTGTATTCATTTTATCTAGCAAATATAAAGTAGCTGGGAAGAATAAATCAGACAGTTTAACTATTCTTACTCTTTGATCGTCTGCGTTCTGACGAGTGATCAACAGAAATGAAACAGTGTCAATAATCGAAAAGGCTGTGAAATATTTCCGTTTCAAGACTACAAGATGTTACAAAACACTGAACATCATTTAAACTTTTTATTTTATTATTTTAAGTTAAAAAAATATAATACAAATGTTTTTTATGCATAACGATACGTCCAAAGTTAAGTAAGGCGTAAGAAAATTTAAACCGGAAGTGAACGTCCCGTATTAGCCCATGGGCCAATACGGCTTTTTTCAGTATTGGCCCTATTTTTTCCGTATTGGCCCTGTCCGAAAAGCAATATTAACTCTTGATTTATATCGACAGGGCAACGTCATCAGTATTTCACATGTTGATTTATCCGTATTCGGGCTGATTTGCTCATATCATTTAATAATACATCATACCAGAGACATATATAAACATACTATATAAAAATATATCTGATAATACTGTAAGACACCTGAGACCACCCCCGGTTTATGGTGGGTTTTGCGTTGCTCAGTCTTTCGTTTTCTATATTGTGATTTTACTGTTGTTTGTCTTTTGGTCTTTTTCTTTTTCTGCCATGGCGTTGTCAGTTTATTTTCGACTTATGAGTATCTTTCGCCTCTCTTTTTGAATAGTCTGATAAACGGATAAAGTATTCGTTACGAATATCATATATTCTAGAAAGATATTTTCTAGAAAGGACATATCTGGCATTTCCAAATCTGAAAATTTCAGAAGCAGTCTGACATATTACCGTTTATACATATTATGTACATTAATATAATTATGCCGCTACTCATATGTTCTTAGCAAATTGTAATTCTCTGTGTATATATTTCTATTCTTTTATAAAATATTGTTAGATTCAATGGGGAATTATGTTTCTAAGACATAGAAATCATACTGAATTAAAGAGCTCTGTGAAAACTAGTTAAAGCCCATTTTTTTTATATATGATTACCAAAATTAATAAAGCACTTTTTCAAAATAAAATTTAAATTTAGATATAGAACATGAATCAGATTTAATACAATTTTAGCTTGGATACTCAGCAACAAGTAATAAGTGAACAAATCTTGTATATTAAAAAAAAACCAAATAAAATATTTGTTTACTTTAATTCTTTTTAATTTTTATATTTTTTTATTTATGCAATTATTTTGTTTGTTTTGTTTAAATTTCATATTTAGAACAACAAAATTTTGGAAGTATTTTACCATACAAGAATATTTTTACTACAACATAATTTTGCAAGTATATAACTGTTGTTTTTTTTTTATTCTAAAGGAGTAATTTTCAATGCTTTAAAATACTGACTGTATTTTACCTGTAATTAATCATTAATTGCTATAACAACACCCATTGTATTTTGTTTGTAGGCATAGGTTGAATATATATTTTTCAAATGTTGGCATAGGTTGAAGACACCGGTAGATTACCAACACTATACCCAGCCAACCAACCACAAACCTCAACATGACGACACGTAGCATAATCATATTTTAACTATAAACACTATTGCATTGCGCATGCTAAGATCAGTACAAGAACCACTGTCAAATACCATGAAACGGATCTATCAGCATATATTTTATAATGTTACTAAAACATTATATACACCATGCGCCTCATAAAACAAGGTCTTGCACAAGTTCAACAATCTTAAGGGAACCCTCGCATCATATGCTATCTACATATAAATTACATTACATGTATGTTTCACGAGAATCCGTTAGTTTGACAAACAACAATCGCGCGTCATTCAAAAATAAACCTTCATATCAAAATGAAATGTCACATTCGTGATGACACGTGCTTCCACAGGTAAATAAATGAAAAACTTGATAAAACCTTTTGTTCTTAGTCTTCTAAGCATAAACATGTAATTATAAGAAATGAATGCTCCTTTTTGTAATTTTATTGGGGTGTAAAAGTGTTGATCATGCACACATTTTTAGAATGAAGCGCTTACGTGCTT